AGCCAGAGGTCTCTGTGAAATGACATACCTTGGTGCGATATTGAAAAAATCAAATTATGATTCTCTATCTTCTTTGTGCACAGATCATGACTGCTAGCAAATTGATATCCAAACTGATTGGAAAATTTTTAAACTTCATTGGGTAGAACATTTTTGGGTGCAGTTCAGTATTATTGTTAAACAATCAGTGCTATTTTAGGTTCCTGTTCTATATATATTTTTACATCTTTGTAGTATCATGTCAGCAGGTCAAACATTGCTGTTTACTTATTTGTATATTTACTTGCAATAAATACACAAAAAGCAATATTAATGTATTACTGGTGTCGCTTGAAATTACTGTATTCGGTTAAATAATTTAATTTGAATTCGATTACAGATAAGTCATGAATCAGGATTCCATTGGTTTATTGCCATGTGCTATTGCTAGCCATGAGCATGGCTCTTTGGAATGTCACTTGACAACCTACACTCCCAACAAAGGCTTGAAGTTTCTAAAACAGTATAGTGCAGAAGATCAAAAACTGATAGCAGAACAAAGTGAACTGAACTTGGATGGAGAATCTCAAGTAGGCCTCCATCATGAAGCTTTCCTGTTGAAAAAATTTCAATCTTTGCAAAAAGCTTGCTGTAGTCCGTTCAAGAAGAAATGCCATGGAAAATTAAAAGATTTGCGACCAATCACAGTAGCTACTGCAGAGAAAATGTCAGATATGCTGAAAGTCAGTACTGACTTTCAGCTTTTGGCCAAGCTTAATACTTATTAACACTTTCGCGCTTTATATTAGAGATAACTCGTCACTGGTTTTTCTTACGATTCCGCATAACTGCCTACTTTTCTCGTCAATCGAAAAAATATTTCTATAAATTCCATTTTTTAACCGAAATGGATGGGGATACTTTTGTTTTGTAGAGAATTTATTTGCGAAGTTTTTGGTACCAGAATGAATATTATATCACATAAACTTCTATGAGTAAAAAAAAAAAATACACAAAGTATGTTTGGGGGTGTGGCGAGCGTGTGGCAGTGGGTTCCCTTTAGCCGTTGATATATCCAACACGTGGGAAATATTTGTATGTGTTATGTATATGTCTGTGTAGGGAATTTTACTGCGATCACTGTCATACAAATTATAAAATGTTTCAACAAGTATAAACATGACAAACATCAAACGAACGAAAACAATGCGTTCGTTTCTGCCGCGAACGCATACTGAGCGACGTGGTTCTATATTTGGCGCTTCTCTTACACATGCTTTGTACCAATGTTATACAGTTCATCTTATAGAAAATTTTATTGCGAACACATTGGTATAAAAAAGAAATACGTACATAGAAAAGTAGGGTCAGGAAACGTATAAACTTTCCAAGCATGATTTCCCCCCCGTGTTTTCGCCAGTGCGCTCGCGGCTAACTACTCTCCACTTCACACACTCTTGCGGGTGGGCAATTACCTATATTAAACATTCATATGCATATGTCCGTGTAGAGAATTTTATTGCGATTCCAATGATACCAAAATTAGCGATGTAGGACAACTGTAGGCTTCGCAACCATTAAGAAAGTGGAAACATTTTGTTGCTGTTTGGCGCTCTCGGCGAGTGATATGCATAGTTTTTTATTTGGTGTTGATACTCCTTATGCTTGGGCGGCATTTTATAGGTATGCTCTTATAGACAATTTCATTGCGAACACAGTGATACCAAATTTAAATACGTGCGTCTTCAATTATTGTCAGGACAGTCAAAAGAGTGTACACTTTTTCGGTCTTACCGCGTAGGCGCGCGAAGTGCCGAAAGCATCTGGGGTATTGTTTTTTTTTGAACGCCGAGAGCGCGAAAGTGTTAAGCCTGGCCAAAAGTTGTGCACATCATGCAGAAAGGAATTCGACAGTAAGCAGGGAAGTGAGTCCAGCTCTACTGAATCTGATGGCCCTGCTGATAATATGGAAATATGTGAAAGTGTAAACACAAGTTTATGAGAATTGGGCATCTCGCCTATTAAATATCAATGAGCTAGTGCAAGGGATAAGCATGGTTATGCGAAGTGTAAGATTAGCCAAGCACACACAATAATTGCCGAGCAGATTGCTGCAATTGGAAATATTGATTGCCAAAACCTGTTGGTACCAAGCTATAGCCAGCAGTGCACAATTTGCCAAGACTTCAATAAACTCATTGAAGAAATGAAGCTAAAATTCCATGTAGCAAAGCACCAAGAAAAAATAAAAATCCTAACCCTCGTGCCACAAAGCTGGTCTATCAAAAAGACAATGGAGCAATTCAAAGTTTCAGGATACATGGTTTGCGAAGCTAGGAAGCTGAAAGAAGAATAGGAAATACTAGAAATTCCTAAGAAAATGCAGGGCAAGTCAGTTCCTGAGGAAGTGAAGGAAAGGGTAGTACAGTTTTTTGAGGGTGAAGAATTTAGTCGAATGTGCGCCGGAAAGAATGGAAAGAAAAAGTCGTGATCAGTGCACAAAGATGATGGAGAATCATAATTTGATTTTTTCGATATCGCACCAAGGTATGTCATTTCACAGAGTCCTCTGGCTGAGTCCTCTGGCTGAACTATGAATTCAGATCCCCACCAAAATAAAAGTTACTCTTGTACAGAAAAATCTGCTGTATCCAGCAGTGTCATTCAAAACCAAATTGGGAATGATGCATATTGAGATATTTTGCCTTGAAAGTTGGCTAGTTCTGCACAAAAATTTTTTTTGGGCAACTTTCAAGTGGGCCACCTCTGGACGTATGGATACAACAGAGTTGCTATTGCATCACTGCATAATATTGTGGTTGTTATACATCATTGCAAAAGATCATGGCATTTAGACCTTTTGCTGATGAGTAAGTTGTCTCCAAATTGGAGTCCAAATTTCTCATGACAAAATTTGGCAGTGATTTTAGCATTGATGGATAGCTGAATGGCCACCCATACTGTTTTTTCGATTACACTACGCTATTCTACACCAAAAGTTGTCCTGGTTTGTCAAAATTCACACTCCTACAGCCAATAGGTCACTTAACAAAGGGTCAAAGTTGGTCATTTTTGTGGTATTTATGCACTAACGGGACGAGAGCCCATTGAATGTGGACCTGTTATATAAGAACCAAAGCAGATTGCGCTCTTAAAATATTTTGCAAAGTGTCATTTGGGGCTAGGGCTATCTTACTACAAAATTTCATGGCATTTGGAGAGGGTCGAGTGGGAGCCATAGGTGACTTTGGTGATTGAGATGGAATGACCCTTTCTCTTTCGTTCTCTTTCGTTCTTTCTTTCTTTTTCTTTCTTTTTCTTTCTTTTTTGTTCTTTTTTTTTCTTTTTCTTTCTCTGTCTTTCTCTGGCTTTCTGTCTTTACTGAACCAATACTGAAAACAGGACAGTACGTCACTTTCACCAGCCGCTACCATTTTCAAATACTGTACGACAATTTTTGGCCATGTGTGCCGCATATGCACGAAAAGTGACGTCCTCGGTAAGAGGACAGGTTGCCGTGTTAGTGGCTTTGCAAGAATATTATACTCAAACCGCACAGTATGTAGTTTCTCAATATACCTTGTTGTATATAAATAAATTGTCTTAATGTATGCTCCTGGGCTCTAGAAGGCAGTGGCCACATTCTACACTGCCTGACGTGCATGTTGGCAGGCTGTGATTTTTTGTACAATAATAATAATAATAATAATTTTATTTACATGGAAATAAATACATGTGATACATACTACAGGGGTAAATTTGTTGGTAAACAATGTACAGTGGGGCCTCGATTTACAATGGTAATCCGTTCCCAGAGACGTATCGTAAGTCGAAGCGATTTTTCCCATAAGAAATAAAGGAAATTGAATTAATCCATTCCCCACCCTCCAAAATATTAACTTACAAATACATTTTATACTGAATACAATTTCTTTCTCTAACTACAATACAGTACATATGTTTATCTTGCCTTTATGGAGGACTCTTGATGACGTATGGAAGATGGTGAGGAGGAGAGGTGTTACTGTTTAAAAGGGGAGTCCCCTTTCATTATAACATTAGGCAGTGATGACGTTTCTGGGATACACTCTCTGGCATGTTTTGCCTGCATACCACTAGGACCTGCTTGTGGCTCACTGCTTGCTTGTCTTACTAAGAATCTGTCTAAGAATCAGTCACTTGTTTTTCTCTACATTTTAACACTTGTCTGGAGTAAGACATCACATTATCATTTAAAGGTCAATGCAATGGCCTGCTTTATCTGGGACGAGTTTTCAACAAAACTTGGCACTTCTTCCCATACTTCACACATTTTCTTAATAAGGAAGGAACATCCTCTACTCACAACTATTTTCTTAGGTTGAACCATACCACTGACTTTCTTGGGACCCATGGCATAATATATATAATAATCAGTTTTATGTTCAAAAAACAAAATATTAGCACAAAAACTGAATTTCTTGAAGGTATGATAGTCACTAAGCTGGCAGCTCTAGTAAACTGAGGCAGGTCGGTCCGCGTGACCAGGAACCACGAGCTCGGTTGACCCAACTGTGTACCAACGAATATTGTTAGTAGACGACATTATCGTAAGTCGTGTCGCCTTTTTCGATTAAATTTACATCGTAACTCAAAATTATCGTAAGTCGTGGCAATCGTAAGTCGAGGTGCTACTGTACTTTATATAGACACATAATATGCTAAGCCTAGTTCAGTTTCAGATTTATGTGGCTCGGCCTGCCAATTTTGCCCGTTTTCTTGATTTGGCTTTCAGCCATTTCATGCTTAAGTTTTTTATGTTGAGATTTATATATAAATATATATATATTCTTTTGTGTGTGTAAATATGATAGCCATACATATCCATGTATGACCACATCATATTTAGAAGGATGTTCAACTATATGGTACATGATAACTATAAGATTAAATCATTGATCAGTTGTGCAGTTTGTTCTGTTATATATAATAATGTGTTGAGAAATGTACAGTTTGCTTGACTTGGAGGTCTCTCTTTCTAGGCCTGAGTACGGTGCGTTTTGGAAGTGTTGCCAAGCTGGCGGCATGTACATGCTCACTCAATTGTGCAAGATGCTCTTACTGGCTACGTTCTTTCCAACGTCAGATGGACCGCCAGAATCTGCAAGCTTGGCTACCGTAAGATTGTTTGAGTTTTTGCTGGCAAAAAAAGCAGACTTCAAAGAAACGTTAACTCGCCTTCAATAATTGTGCAATTTTTAAAGTTGTTTAATAGGGTAAAGTTGACAGTGTTGGAACATGTATTGTTCTTGTGTTCATGAACATAGGTTTTCTGAGGGGAGCCCTATCGGCTCCCTGAAGCAAACGAACTGGTATCCTGCCATAATAGTCAGTTATCTTCAGGGAACCTCCAGAGCTCAACCCAGAAAATGGCATTTCATTACATTCAACATTGTTTTTTTTCTGGGGTAGCTCCTAGGATACTCCCTGCCCCCACTACTGAGTCACATCAGTAGTGAGGGGGGCTTGGTGGCCGAGTAGACAGCGATCTTGACTCGTGGACCTAGGGACAGTAAATAGGTACCTGGGAGTTAGACAGCTACTACGAGCTGCTTCCTGGGTGGTGGGGGGGGGGGGGTGTGCATGGGGGGAAAACCCATTAGTTAGTAACAGTTGATTGACAGTTGAGAGGCGGCCCGAAAGAGCAGAGCTCAACCCCTGCAAACACAACTAGGTGAATACATCAGTTACAGGAGTACTGTTTGGCCCTACCAAGGACCTCACCCAGAATATGGCCTCCCCTCATTGAGACCCAGAGATCTTGGGACTGTTTCAATTACTCGCACTGGGAAAGCATCCAATGAAGCAATACAGACAACAGCAATATTCATGGAAAAAAACACCGAAATTGCCAAACACCCTTCAAATGATTCATTCAAAACAAGTGGTTCACTTGAAACTAGCTCAAAGCCCTCCTAGTACAAATGACCATTAATGGGGTGTCAGAGTTCCCAGCTGCCTCCTGGTCAGTCATGCCACTGATATGCTGCCATGTAGATCTTCCTGGGACGCCTCTTCATAGCTAGTTCCATTTTTTCTAAATGCTGTCCATCCTTTGGACTTTGTCCTGTGTGGCCATTTGCTTGTTAATTGTTCCAAAATCTTTAGTATTTGCTACATGAGCATGTTTCTCTGCTGCCTTTCCTGTCTGGACTTGGTCTATTACAGTGGTGCCTCGGTTAACCACTTAACTGCGCCAACTGAGTATTCTCGGTCGGCGGGAAGCTGCGCCAACCGAGAGAACTCTCTTTTATTTTTCGGTAGCCATTCTAAATGTGTACGAGGTTGGTTGTGTACGAAATGGACTCTTAGGACCTCCAGTGAGAGGCACCCATCTTGGAAAAAATTCCCAGAATCCCCTAGGACTGCTGGCTGGGCTAGTTCTGAGTGAGCAACCATGGGTGGCACATGCGCCTCTGGCCCCCAAACACCTGTCCGACGTGGTGTTGAAAGATAAAGCTCTGTTGGTGAAATTCAAACCTGATTGTTTGAAGAACATAAGGGTCATAATATTGGTGAAACTAGGTGCACAAAGTGTCGGATGCAAGTTATACAGCACCTATGAGGATGATACAGCGAGAGTATCCAGTTGTAGCTCTGAGCGTCACCCTTGCAATCGTATGCTATCTCCAATTTATTTAGATGATACACAGATGAATCGTTTTCTGCGTTCAGTGATGATGCATCTGATAAAAGTAGCATAGATGAACAGTTTTTTTTTTTTTTTTTTATAATTATTATTATTTTCTACCACAGACGTGGCCACACATTTACAATGCTAACCAGCATATATACATTTTCTTCTGTCCTCCATGGACAGGGTTAGAGGTCTGTTAAACATATAGTGCAAGGATTTATTGAACAATCAACCACAGGTGATGATTCGATGCTTTTAAAATGCTAAGCTAACCTACATACATAAATACACAGATTTACGTATGACCTACATAAAGTGTTCGAAGCGTCATTAATGTGCATTTACAAAGGTAAAATGTAATTCTGATCAGCTTCCATATGTACTTTATACACATACCTGCACATATACATACACACACATACGTACATATACATATATACATACATATATATAGTGTTATATATATACAGTGTCATATGTTATATATACAGGTGATCAGTGTTAGCGGCTTCCATGGTGGTGTTTTCCATAGATATTTTCAATAATACCTGAATCTCTTCCTGACTGACGGACACTCTTTGAGGCAAGCTGAATCTCTTCCTTTGTGGGACCATACAAAGCGATCTTTTCAAGACTACCTTACAAATTGATCTTTTCCTATAATCTTTTCAAAACTACCTTATGCTTTATAAGCTTGGCTACATGCAACCTAAAAGTGCTAAAGCCAAGAGTGTACGTGAGTGCGTTATTTGCAAGCACACAGAATGAAGAAGCAGGAAGCAAAAATTAATCTGTACCTGGTGCAACGAGAGTGAAGTTGCGCTGTGTACCATGGGCTACTTCGTTGATTATTACTCGCTTCCGAAGTGCTTGCGGGGGGTTGAGCTTTGGCTCTTTGGTCCTGCCTCTCAACTGTCAATCAACTGGTGTACAGATTACTGAGCCTACTGGGCTCTATCATATTTACATTTGAAACTGTGTATGGAGTCAGCCTCCACCACATCGCTTCCTAGTGCATTCCATTTATTAACTACTCTGACACTGAAAAAATTCTTTTTAACGTCTCTGTGGCTCATCTGGGTACTAAGTTTCCGCCTGTGTCTCCTTGTTCGTGTCCGATCCTTGCTGAAGAGTTCGTCTTTGCCCACCCTGTCAATTCCCCTGAGAATTTTGTAGGTGGTTATCATGTCTCCCCTTACTCTTCTGTTTTCCAGGGACGTGAGGTTCGGCTCCTTTAGCCTTTCCTCGTAGCTCATACCTCTCTGTTCTGGGACGAGCCTGGTGGCATACCGTTGAATCTTCTCTTAACTTTGTCTTGTGTTTAACTAGGTATGGACTCCAGGCTGGAGCTGCATACTGTGTGTAATACCGTGTGTTACTGTGTAAATGGTGTGTGAAACTGTACATATTGTAGTTTTAGTGAATTTTTAACAAGTAATATTGTGACAATAAAAATTTATTGTGGACACGTTACTGACACATGTATCACAGTTCCATGGAACATTATGAACATTCTACTGTATACATATTGTAAAAGACACAAATATGCATCATATACAATAAGAAAACGAATAAAACCGCATTGGAAATACATAGAACAAATAATTGAAAATATATTTGTGGCAACATCCGGTGCTTGAATGGCCCGCACGACTGTCTGGGCGATTCATGCACGGGCGACCAGGCCCTGATGATGTCACAGCGCACCTTGTCCACGTCCCCACAGCCAAAGTAAGTGGAATTTGGTATTTATTTTTACATAAACCTGTTCAGGGAAGGGAATTTATCATTTTACAAAGAAAATATAATTGTTTGGGAGCACTTTATTTCACGTGCACCGGGAATTTCACAATAAACTCTGCACAGCACGGTGATTAACGAATTTAATCTATTCTGGCATCGAGCTCGTCATGTGAAACTCTCGTCTTGCGAAATGATTTTCCATCGGACATTGGAGGCGTCCGAGAATTTGTGAGAACCAGCGGGAATGCTAGGAAGCACCACGTGGTTTTCTGGTTAACCGAACGGAAGCTCGTCAATAGAGACAAATATTCTGCGAGTGGCTTGCTCATTACCTTGATATGCTGGTAGATGGAGCTGCTCATCACCCGAGCTTCCTCTGTATTTACTAAGAGCTGCATGTCTAGGGTGACTCTTCCATAGGCACTTGTCTAAGTGTTGCTCCTGCACAGAGCAACTTCTCTGGTGTGGTTGGGGAGTTTGCCCTGGAGTGGGCCAGGCCCCCAGGGTGGAGAGTCATGCCCTGGGTAGTGAAGGAGTTGACTCATCTGTAAGACCCTACAGCTGGTGGTGGTCTGTTTGGTTGTAAATTGAATATGCTAGGGCAGGGTTTCCATCCACTTGAGCTGGACGGTAGAGCGATGGTCTCGCTTCATGCAGGTCAGCATTCAATCCCCGACTGTCCAAGTGGTTGGGTACCATTTCTTCCCTCCCCATGCCATCCCTAATCCTTATCCTAACCCCTTCCCAATGCTATATAGTCGTAACAGCTTGGCACTTTCCCCTGGTAATTAAATTAAATTAGGGCAGGATTTTTTTCTGTTTTTCAATAGCAACTCGGTTTAGTTTTATGCAATAACCTCGTGATCCACGGACACACAAGTATACATGCATACATATATGTATACAGGCATAGTACTAGCACCCTCATCGTGTGTAAACAGAAACGTAATATAATGTATAACATACTATTCACCTGGGCTGTAGGAGACTCGAACTTTAGACCCCCAAACGTCAGGCCAAAACTCTATCGAGGCCGAAACCCAGATGAATGAAACGTTTATTATCACGGAAGTGTGGATGACATTTTATGATATTTTTACCCATATGATACAGAGCAAAAAATTTTCACAAGTGTAGTTTGGTGAAGCCTCACTGAATTCTAATTTGTAAGATGACACAACAACTATAAACGCCTAATCAAATGCAGCAAGTAATATGGATGAGACACTTGTAATTAGGCTGAGACGTTTGCAGTGTGGATGAGACATATTGTTTGGTGGGCTTGTTTGCTGCTTGTCATCCTGGTCCAATCTGGTTTGCAGGAGGATAAGGCCACATGCACAACTCTGGTGGGGGTTCAGGCAGTTTCTCTCCTGCTTGATGCCTGCATGACGGGGTTCTGGGAGTTCTTCTACTCACCAAGCCCGACCTGAGGCCAGGCTTGACTTGAGAGCTTGGTCCACTATGCTGTTGCTTGGAGTGGCCTGCAGGCCCACTTATCCACCACAGCCCGGTTGGTCTGGCACTGTCATTGGCACATTGGCACAATTGGCACTGTCGTCAATTGGAGGACTTGAGCTGGAGGAGGCAGGAGTCACACTGCAGCAAACTCCTGGAAATATTGAATTACCTAAGTATTGAGAACAGGTTGAGGGCTACAGTGGTGTCCCAGGTTACATAAAGGTTCAGGGAAGTGTAAAAGCAAATAAAATACAATAAACAAGTAAAAGTGAGTGAA